AGGACAATGCTGTAGTGCCATTTGTAGTTGACTGTTTCGGTCGATGGAAACGATCCAACAAGAGCTTTCCCGTTGTTTGGTCATATTGATATTCTGGCAATTCTAAAGGAGTTGGATTCACAAAGGAATACATGGCATGAGGAATCTGTCGGGATTGAGTGGTTCCTACATGTTTACTTGAAGCATGAGCCTCATGTTCTCCCACCACTTGTTTCGTGAAGAAATTTACAAAATTCAACTGATCAAAGAGTTTGGTGATCATTATTGTGGTGGATAATGTTGAACAAGAGGAAGTAGTTGTGGTGGTAGTCGCGACTGTTGTTGCTGCTTTCTTAATCATCTTTGCTTTACAATGATGATTTGGATGATTCTTTTGATTCGGAGGAGAGGATGATGATTGAAAGGAACGACAAGATACACGACCGCTACTACTACTATAATAATAATAATTACAACTGAATTGGTGATTGTTTTTTTGTAAGGATTCTTTGCGAGCGAATAAATTCAAGGGTGGTGATGATGATGAATGAGGAGGATGAATAGGAGGATGACCTTGAATGAGGAGTGTTGTACTGTTGTTGTTGTTGTTGATGGTGATGATGAACAACAGGAGGAGAATGAATGTTATTCCGATGAAGAAGAATCGTACGGGTAGATGTCGTGGTCGAGGAGTCGTAAAAGTTCTAGTTTTGGAGATGAGGATCTTGATAATAAGAGAACAATGAAAGAGAGTATTGATAACTACTGTCCTTCTTTCCAAAGATGCCAAATGCATTCAACCGCTCGAGATGTTCTTTTTTAATCTTGAATATTAGTTCATTGCAGATAGACTTTGAACCATCACACACATTAGGATCAAGTAGGTAGAATTGGTTCAAGCAACATCAGGATGTGAAGTGTGAGTTTTCACACAGAATTCATTATTCTTGTTGATGGAAAACGGATGACATTGTGATTTTCGAAAACATCTGATTTGTTATTGGAACTTGAACATGCATGTTTGATTACATGATGTACTGTAGATCAAATCGGAGGTGTGGCTGCTTTAATCGATCGTAGAGTATTCTCGAAAAATTGGAATGATTCTAATATTCTCCCATATGGATTCACCTGGCACTCTACAAGACATAGTGATACTACCCAACGAACCACCAGCAGCGTCTTGTGTGTTAATCTGTATCACCTTCTTTCACTTCTCTCATCGGTTTGGGGAACTGCACATATTTTTCGTGGGTAGTATCAGTGACGAGTTGGAAAAAATAATTAACTAAGGTTGTGGGATGATAGTTAGCTGTTACTCTTTGAATACAACTATTGTATGCGCAATCAGTGGTTGGAGTCATTCAAAAGAGGGCATTACTTTCCCTTAATTTCAATTCCTTCTGAATGGGCAGAGTGTTTGGCGTCATGGGACGTGTTTTTCACTCTGTTCTAAGGGTACCAGTGTGAGGGCATTATTGTGGAGGAGAGTTGAGATTGGATCTAATGGGTTCGCATTTGGGACGCATATGGAAAGCCAAGTTAATCATTCTCGTGAAACTTTAATGTCTGTGACATGTTGCTTTTAATTAAGTGCTGTCACTGGGTGGCTTTGTTGGTTCCAAAAGTGTCATTGTTCAATGATTACTTAGGAACAGCAAACACTTGCAGAATATTGGTAGTTTTAGGATGGTGGATTCCTGAAGGTGGTGGGGGAAAGACCAATGTTATGACCTTAATTGTCGTTTATGTTTCTAGTAGTAGTAGAAGTTTATTCATGGCATATTACACCAGAATGCGCCTGGTGAGAGAAATAGGAGCTGTTAGATTGATGCTAAGATGTTTGATGTATCCTATGTACGTGTGGTAGAATAAACTCAGAAATTTCTCGAATCGATTTTAATCGTTGGATTACTTAAATGGAGGTATACACTGATTCAACAAAAACCCCTCTCAGAGGATACTTGCGATGAAAGACACTGTTCAATTGTTACTGATATTAGTATAACTAATCATGTCTACTAGCATCTCTGTCTCATCACTGGAAAAAATTCAGCTCTTTCGTCATTCTCTGCCTAGCGATAAAATTGTTCCCCAATAAATTGGTACGGCATCAATTCATACATGATAGAAAGACAGTAGACCAACACAAACGAGGGTGCTTTTCAATTATTATCGCCCTGCTTGCAGTGGGAATGTGTTCAGTCGTTGTAATGTATCCACACTCCTGATTCCACGAGGTGGGTTCCCTCTTACATTCAATCGAGTTGAACTTCAATATGTGCTCTCGATGCTTTGCACATTACTGAAATGATGACCTGTCATGTCGGTTTTACTGAGCTTTTCCAAAGACTTTTTTAGTTGTTTCAGCTTAATCATTGAAAGTCTTAAAGTTGTCAGAAAAAATGTCTTCACAAAGAACCTTCAACTTTCGTTCCGAACATTCCTCTCAATCTCCTTCTTCGAAAGATCCATCATGCAGCAAACAAAAAGATTCGACAAAGCCCAATGCTTTTTATTCTTTAAAGATGAATAAGAATACTGTTTACCAAAATAGGACATCACGAGGCACCCTCTATCTGTCACGATCGACATGCTTCACGTTGAGTTTTGTGATCCTCTTCGGATTCATCAATATCTTCTTGTGTTTAATCTTCTCCTCCACTCGTACTCTACTTTCTCATCAAAATATCATTCCATTCACTGGTTGGAATCATTTAACAAAAAGTCTCTCCCTTCCGTGTTCTACATTGTTTCATGCCATTTGGTCGGTCTTTACTTTTACCTTGTTTTTATTGGACAAGTGTTTGGCCAAGTTGTCGGGAAAGCCATCATCATTGACTAAATTATTTCCAATTAAAACTAATGGGAGTAATGGAAATGGAAAAAGCTCCTACAGTCGTCGAGTTCCAGAGATGTTATTATTAACGAGTGTCTTATTGGGAGGATTTTGGGGAGGTTTGATTGGAATGATTGGTTGTTGTCATAAAACTAGAAAATGGAAGTTTTGGTTGGTAGAAGTGATTGCTTTTGTTCTACATGTGGTTTTACAGAGTCAAATTTTGGTCTCTGAGACCAATCAAACCATAATGTAGAATTCTTAACCACCGACATTGGTGATCGATCAACTAGTACCTGTTGGAACACACATTGACTTTGAGAACATGGTTGTCCAAATGCATTGCATGGCCATCCAACAACCGCTTCATCATAGGTGTGTCCAAGAGCTCCCTCCCGTATGAGAAAAAAGGAACAGCTTCCAATTATTGAGAGGAATCGCTCTATTGACAATCTCTCGTCTTGGAATCAGACCATCTCTCTCTATGGTGATGAGACCTTTCTTTCATGGAGATTCTCTTTGGAGAGTTGTTGGTTCTGGTGTCCGTGCGCTTTCTCTCTCCGCGGTTATTGTTGTTCAATTCTCTTCAACAATAACGCACGTTGTGCGACGGGATTGATGATCCACCTCGCAAATTG